TTCTGTGTCCAAGCCTGCTTTTCTTACAACATGTTCTGCATATACGTTGAACAGGCATGGTGATGAGATGCAGCCTTGTCTGACTCCTTTGCCAATTGGGAACCATTCTGTTTCTCCGTGTTCATCAATAGGACTGTGTTATCATTCTGGTCATTATCCGAAGACTGACGTCTGGCACCGTAAAGCGCTTCTGGAGCTCCCTTTTGTTCGAAACCTGGCTTGCATAAAACCCTGCCACTGTTGTGCAGAATCCCACCTGAACTTCAGAAGGATCAGTGAAGCCATAAATAAATAAATAAATAAATAAATAAATAAACATCCTCCTTTTCCTTCGCCGCCGCGCCACCCCCCTGTTCCGCCCTTCACCCATATCCTGTCCTCACCTTCCTCCGATGGACACCCATTGGTTCCTGGACAAATTGTATATCCTGCTCAGCAGGTTTTCTGTTTGCTCCATTCCACGAAGACCACAGAAGGTGCTAAAATTAAGTTGATTTTCCTTGCATGGGAAATTTTGGGCCAATTCTGAAAGTCTGGGGGCTGGACAGGAGGGCGGACTGGCCCGCTGCTAAGGGGGAGAGAAAAGAGCCGTTGTCTTTCAACGGGGCCAGAGACGTCAACACGACCTGGGCTTGCAATAGGCCTTTTCTTTTTGACCAGCCCACAGGAGGACTTGAATCACGTAGGGTTGCCAGATGTTTCCCTGCTCCAGAGAGCTGACAAAAATCAAAGCACAGCAGAGAAGCCTTTTTCCATATTTGCTCTGGGCTAGGAAAAGCGTCCCCTATTGAATTTCTGTCTGACCTGTCGCTGGTATAAAGGGGCAGGTGCAATGCTCTTTTGAAAAGTTGGCAGTCGTTTCCCAGGTTGACATTTCTACGAGTTTGGGGATGAATCGCAATTTATTTTGTTAAATATAAAATCCAGAAAGCTGAGCATGTTCAAGAAAGCTGAGCAAAAGAGATTATAGAATGGTTGTTGTGTGCCTTCATGTTATTTCTGACTTACTGGTATGTTGACTCTAAGGAGAACCTCTCACAAGGTGTTCTTGGTAAGATTTCTTTAGAAAGAATTTGCTTTTTCCTTTCTCCAAGGCTGAGAGAGTGTGACTTGTCCCAGTTCACCCAATAGGTTTCCATAATCAAGCTGGGATTCGAACCCTGCTCTCCCAGTATCCTAGTTCAGTACTAAAACCGCTATGCCATACCTGGCTATTAGACCTAGCAAGGGTCAAAGTTTGGACAAGTTATTATTTGTTTCTGGACTACAACTCCTGGCTTCCAGTACAATATATGGAAGCACGTTTTCCTTTGTTGGGGTATTCTGGGATCTGTAGGGACTGGGGGATTGTGGGGATCAAAAGTGGCTCCAGGGATCTGAGATTTATGACAGGATCTCCAAAAAAACAAAAAACAAAAAAAACCTTTGTACTCATTGGTAGTATGTCATGAACAACTAATTGAAAAATTCAGATTTCTATCCACTGCAGAAACATTTACACCTTTTTTCACGATAATGAAGAAGTCAGTCAGCCGCCAAGTCTTTTACTTCAAAATACAAAGCATTAGGGTGGGTTACGACAAACCGAGATCCCCTTCCTCTATCAGATCCCTCACTTATGCCATCCTTAAGCTATCTGGGAGGAATTTTTAAAAGAGGTTTGGTGGAAAAGCCTACTTGGTACGACCGCCATCCAAGTTTGGAAAAGTTAGTCCCAAAAGTCGTTTTGACTACACCTCCCAAAATCTCCCACTGGGGGATTCCTTGAAATATAGTCAAAGTAACTTTTCTGAGCTCTACTACTAATTTTTAAAAAGTCACCCTTTTCCTTTTCCTGATCTGGCCAAGAAATCAACATGTTTTTGCAAATACATAGCAAACTGCATGAGAGCCAGCGTGGCATAGTCGTTTGAGCATTGGATTATGACTCTGGAGACCAGGGTTCAATTTCCAGCTCGGACATGAAACCCATTGGGTGACCTTGAGCAAGTCACACTCTCTCAGCCTCAGGGGAAGGCAATGGCAAGGCCCTTCTAAACAAATCTTGCCAAGAAAACTCCATAATAGGGTTGCCTTAGGGTTGCCAAGTCAGAAACGACTTGAAGGCACGCAACAACGACAACAAAGCAAACTGCCATCGACAAAACTTGCCCTTGTTCTGATCTATGTTTAAAAAGCAGTGACTTTAGCAACTAAAGCTAAACCTGCAACCTTACTGCTTTTGAAGTACTTTCCCCCATAAAAAATATATCAATTTCCTCATTTCATGGTATTTCTTTCTTCCCCTTCCTTTTGAGCATTGGCTCAAAAGATTGCATGCCTCTGATCGCATGCATTTATATATATTTTTTTAAAAATGCCTGTGAATGGTGAAATCACCTTTGTCAAAATTATTCCCATTTCCTAGTCGCACCCATCAAACATATCTCGTATCTAAGGCTCGGTGCACTTTCACGTACTCAGGCCTTTGTCATGCTGGG